TCGTACAGGTTTGTGAATTTTTTGGTGAAGCAGCAAGGAGGTGCTGGGTCATGAGAACCTTGACATTTGTTTCCCTCACATTCCTGATTTCCAAGTTTGAGGCAAACATATCAACTCTTGGGAAGGCTTGCAGGGAGTGTGAGGTCGTGGGGGCATAAAGCGTTTGCTGGGAGCAGGGCTCCGGGTTTTGAGGGGATAGCCTAGTACATACCAGTTTGTACGTACTGCACCGGCCTACAACAAACACGTGCAAATCTCGTCTCTCAGGCCACGAGTCTTGGATCTGCGAACCCCGAGTGCAACCCTGAAACATAACTCACAAGGCACAGCAGAGCCTCAAATGTCGGACACAAAGGTCACCAGAAGCTCTGTTCGCCTCATATATCCTTGCAAGGCCCTTGGGGTCAACAGCCGTGGGGCACCCAGGATCTCTGACGCTACTTGGGCAATGTTTGGCAGTCAGTTGCAGTTGTGATGCGTGCTTGATACATCCTTGCAAGGCCCTTGGGGTCAACAGAAGGGGGCAGCCAGGGTCTCTGACGTTGCCTGAGACCCCGCTCTACATCGCCAGTTCAGAGTTGCATAACTGGCGGCCATGACATTGTAAACGTTAGGCTTGAACTTCAAAGTGAGCTTTGTGGCTGCGCAGACCCGGACCATGACTGACTAAGTCTTGCATGTGAAGGCATAGATGCTCTCCAGCCTCAGCACAGCTGGGCCACGAGACGTGAATGCAAAGCCTGCCGCATCTCTGCACTTGCTCTCTCATGATCGACAGGCTGCCAGAAAGCCGCAATGCAGACCGCCCAGCGCTCATGCAGATGGCTGAGCATCTGGAGCATCTGGGGCAACTGGCAGAGGTCCTGTCCTCACTGCATGGACGGATTTTGCAAGACATTGACCTCCCCTCCTCCTTTCAAGCGAGTCATGCTCGCAAGTCAGAAAATCGAGCAAGCCAGATTTTGCAATAATGCCCCAATGCATAGGAGTTTGCCTGCGTTCCCAAAGCGGCTGGTGCATTCTTCTGCAAATCTGAGAGGCATTGACCAACCAAACCTGCTGCGAACTCCGCAGCCGCAACGAAGCCTGTTTAGCCGAAAGCCTCACCAAAGGTCAGAAGACTGCCCTGCAGCGCCCCAGCTTCTCACAAATGGCCTCATGCTAGCGAAGTAACTCAACATCATGGATGCAGCACTGCTGGACAAGACCCGTGGAGTTTGTTCTGGCACGTTCGAGTGCAGCGTGCGACAGCTTGAAGCCTGGAGTCAGCATGCCGGCAGCGACTGACAGAAGTCGTTGCCTCCTGCAGTTTGAATGCTGGACAATGGCTTTTCATTCTTCAGCGCGCGTGCTCACAAGCCCAACAAGCAAGGATCAATATGCGGGCACTTCGGAAAACCCGGCTGAGCCAAATGTTGCAAGCATGCTGCAGCGCATATGAGTCGGTTCCTTTTGTTGGGGTGGCTGAAGTTTACGTATCCTGCTTATCCTAGTTTTTGGTGAATCCAAGACCTGTGGACAAAGCCGGCCTGCAAGAATCGCCTGTTGAGATCTCATCCAGTTCCTGGCGCTCAAAATCTCGAATCTTGGGAGTTTTAGATTTCCGAGCTGCGCCCGCAGCCCTGAAACATAACTCACAAGGCATAGAAGAGCCTCAAATGTCGGGAACAAAGGACATCGCAAACACCGGGCGCCGGATACATCCTTGCAAGGCCCTTGGAGTCAGCAGCCGCGGGGGAGCCAAGGTCTCAGAGATCACTCGAGCATTTTTTGGGCCGTCCGTCACATTTTTCAGGGACACCCAGAACTAATGCCATGCGGGAGATTAGCCTTGCCAGGCAGATTTGCATGACCGAGTGCAATCAGAAAGTAAAGACAAGGCTCACACTTCCAAGGAAACACCACTTTGCAGAGCCAGACCATGACTGACCAAGTCTTGCACGTGAAGGTTCAGGACAGCTTGGCCAAAAGATGCGCGACCGAGTGCACTCGCTCCCCCGTAGTGCAGATGGCAGAAAGCTGCAACGCAGGCTGCCCAGCTGAAGAGGCGAACCTCTTCAAACTCTTCATCGCGCGTCTGTTTCCGATCAGAAAGAGCAGTTGCCAACGCGTACATATCATTCGGGAGAAACCTTTGTGAAGCACAAAAAATTAAGAGTTTCTCTTCACATATCATCAGAAACCGTCCACTCACTTTTGAGCACTTGCTTCAATCAACATGAAAGCATCGGAAGAGTTCACCACTCCATCGTTGTTGACGTCCAATACTTGATACGCCACTATCGAATGAATAGGTACCCAGGTCATCAGAGGTTGAAGTATCAGCAGACAGGTCACCACCCTTCAACGTACATCCAAAGCGACATTCAGGCTCTGCTTTGGTGAGCAGCGCCAGAAACTCCACATAATCTGCAAAGCTGAGAGGTGCTCCCGAGGTGGAGAGAATCGAGAACAAACGATGGACGAGAGGATCCATCACGCTAGGCCACCCGTTTCGATGTACCCAATGCTTGAACATCGCCTTGGACATCTTATTCTCCATACGAACAGCATTGTTTCCTGCTGCTTCGGTTTCTTGGCAGATCTTTCGAAAGATATGCAGCATTTCTCTTACTTCCACGTCGTAAACTAGGTAGGTAGGTAGGTAGGTAGGGAGGCAACACAATGAGTCAGTTGCAAGCAAGAGCGCTCCTATATCAAACTACTACTACTCACATTTGATTGGAGCGTAAGGATCACGAACCAGAATCTTCTCTGTCCATTTGGAGAACCCCATCACCGTGTGATAAACTGTTCGATACTTGGCTGGCGTTCGTAGAAGCTGTAACACAAGTTCTTCGTCTTTCTTCCGGTTCTGAGGCTTTGCAGCAGTACTAATCATGGACAACGTCGAGGATCGAGTGACTTCCAGAATTCTGCTAGCCACCGAAGTATCTTTCTTGCGCGTCCTGCTCGATCCTCGTTGTTGTTTCTGCTCCTGACCTTTCTTCAACTGATCGCGATGACGTAGGGTTTGTCGATAAGCAGCGAATTTCGTGGTTCGACTGCTCTTGGATTTGTAGCGCTTACTGGTTGTACTCCTTTCGCCTTTCATCTCGTGTCCCTCACGAGCAGACAAAACGGTAGAATGACTCCTACAACTGTAATCGTGGGACTTAATTCCAGATGATTCGCATTCTCTTGTGCATTTGTCTTCTTGGGTCGCCGTTCATGAAGCTGAATCACTACATCTCTCCAGGTTCGAGGTGTTTCCTGCTTGGCATTAGCGCCGCTGGTCTTCATAGACGACGTTCGTTCGCTCATCAATCCAGCAGCATACTGCCTTCGCTCTCGTAAGCGAATCCCAGTCCACGCCTGACATCGTTGCATTGGAGACATTTCCCAGAGCGAACTCGTATCGGTCACTGCTTCAGGCAGAATCAGTTTCTTCATTCGAGCGAAAATGGAATTGGCAGAACCAGCATCTGATTCTCTGCTGTTCCTGCGAGATTCCAAGCTCACTGCTTCCCATCGTCGAACCTTTCCTTCTTCACTGGACGTCATCATCACGAGGACCACACACAGGTGCTTTCCATCAGTGGCTCAGATACCCAGCAGCACACTCGAAAAGATCTTCCCCCAACATATCTGTAGCGTGTATTCAATTTGACAACAAAGACAGACAACCATCTAGCGCACAGGAGCTTCTTGCATATGACGAACAAAAGGAGAAACCGTGGTGGTCTTGAAGGCTTCCTGAGGATATGATACTTTCTGCATCGAATCCAGCAGCATAGGACAGCACGAATCCATCGACGCTACGATCAGATCCAGGAGCCACACGTAGATATGAAACTGTCGTCTTCGAATACCAGTGAGCGTGGCTTCTGCCACATCATCAGCCGTATAATGAATCAAAGGCTCTGAGAAGCGGAACGCCTGCTTGGACACCAGATTCGTCTTCACAAAACTAGGACACGTGGACGACAAGTGCACTTTGAAAGGATACACCCAAGGCGCCACCAACATCTCTCGCCGCAGTGAATGGGCGAAATGTCGACTCCTGATCTTCTCCATGAGGATCATCATCATCACATCCATCAGCATCTGCTTACCCTGCTTTCGTCGCAGCATAGGTGGTCAACATAGGCGCTTTAGTGTCGCTGGCCAAACTTGCAGTAAAGTAAATATCAACCTCAACTGGATAAACATCTCCTTCAGTATTCTTCTTCATCTTCAACTCGTGCAGCAACACTTTGGTGGCAAGGATTGGTGCTTCCAGATTCACGCGAAGCATTAGACGAATGGAAATATCATCGACGGCTGGCAGTAATCCAGAACCTAATGTAGCCCATCGATCCATCACCATCATCCTTTCAAGCTCAACAAACACACGACTCACCAACCACTCCAGCATTATTAAACCACGTATCAATCCCTCCCAGGAACTCTAGAGCACTCTTCACTGCTTGTGAAGCACCATCCACCGAGCTCAGATCGATCACTGCTGCTCCTGATCGACATTTGCCCCAATTGGGATTCTTCTGGACTTCGAGTCTGCACTCGAATCGCGTCAGATGCCTTCTATTATTCTTCGTGTTGAACGTCGGTCCCTTCGCTCAGATACTCACTGCAGTTCACGAACGGCACCCGAATTCACATCGATCACAAACACATGAGCCTTGAGATCAAGCAGGCGTCGCACCAGGGCTAGACCAATGCCTGAAGCGCCTCCGGTCACACAACAACGTCTTCCCTGGAAGTATCGTTCTTGGCGACGCTGGGCAACGCTAGGACGAAGCCATTCGTAGGCCACACTCAACAGAAACAAAGCTTGATTCACCAGATCTTCTGCCCAAGATCTGGCACACTCCACTAGGGCCTTCACGACTACTTTCAGCTTCGCCATGAAGAAGGAAACACACCAAATAAATGATTCCCGAATGCACTCCACCCATTCAGTAGTAGCAACTACACGCTCGGCTTCACTTCGAAAGGGGAGGGCAACGAGGCGCACACAGCTACGAACGAGCATGGCCCGGCTCTGGCTGATCATCAGGAGCAGCAGCAGGAGCAGCAGCTTGATCAATTAAGGATTCGACAAGATCCGGTGCTTCGTTCTTCATCTCGTCTTGTACTTGAGCTCGCTGAGGATACAGCACGTAGTGCTGGACCATAAACAAGACATCGAATACCATTGATTCAATGGATAACAGCAGCTTGGAAATATCCTTGGTGAAGATCTTCGTATCGTTCTGGCGATAGGCATCCGCAGCTTGCTGCAGGAACGAAAGAAAGCCACCCGTGAAGTCCAGGAGGATGTTTCCAATCGACCAGCCCACCTATTGAGCACAGCGAAAGTGTCAGCAGACGGTTTCTGGAATGGAATCCTGCAGTCGGTCAGCCCACTCACTGTGCTTTTACGCTGATAATTGAAGTAGGCTTGGGGCACATACTTGATGAAGGAGATGAAGCCCTTGCTCAGCCCAAAGTATTGCATCAGCGTGTACTGAAAAGTTGCCTCGGTGCCAGGCTTCACGTGAGCCGCCCAAGGCAATATGCCCAGAAGACACAGCACCACGTTATAGGCCGCCAGCAGCCACAACGCCAGGATAACGACCACATGCGCCCGATTCACCCGCTGGCCACCACGCTCGTACACCAGGCACTGACCAATGGTGACGAGCGTGATCAGCAGAGCGCGAAGCGCAAACGCCACATCGTTGGGTTCCACCGCCGCGTCCAGGTGCAGCCGGCGCTGCTCCACGAAGGTGACCACGTTGAAGATGGAATAGAAGAAGAATCCCGTGGCATTGTACGCCAAGAACTCGAAGCTGAGCCCTCGAACGCTTTGGCGCGTGTAGTTGAGCCACACCTGCGGGTAGAACGACACCGACCACGCCACCTAAAGCGGGTGAGTCAGCCTACATTCTCTCCCTCCTTCGTCATAGGCCGGCGCTCTCACAAAGTAGCCCACGCCCAGCGCCTGCGACAGCACATCGAGCGTCGAGACGCCCATCGATCGTGTGATGCCTACGGTAATTAATACCTACGATGCGCACTGCGTACGGTGATTTACTCGAGTGAACCCAATCGTCAACGTGCGCACCACCGCGCGCACCACATGCGCTCATTTCTCTATTTGATCATCTCTGCTCACGACCGCTGCGCTCTGGTCTCCGGGGGCGGTGGCGGCGGCGGCGGTAGGGGCGTGCAGCCCCAGGATGCGCAGCAGCTCTTTGGCGGCGTTGATCTTCCAGGTGGTCCACTCCAGCTCCTCGGCGTTCTCCACCACGCGCTGGACGTCCTTGCACTGCATCAGTTCGCTCTGGCTCGCCTTGTTGTTGAGCACCAGCGCTAGCAGTGTATTGGCGCTCCATTTCATCTACCAATTCGTGTTGGTTGGTGCGAAATCTTCCGTCCTCATCTGCTGCTATACGTACGAGCTCGGTGGTGGAAGCGTCGTCGCAGCGCAGGATCGACATCAAGATGGGGATCCAGCCGCTTCGTCTGGCGGCCGTCTGGGCTTTGAAATGGCATCTGCACGTGGTGCCCACGAGCTGAACGATTTTCTGAGGCATGGTGTCGTAGATGAGCTTGGCCCACACCAGGCAGTGTACCGGTTTGTCTGGCGTGTTACGAATGGTGCACACAGCGTACGTCTGTGGTGTAGGCACTGGTTTGCACTCAAAGCACTGGGTACCGTCCGATTTGGAGATGACGGTGGTTTGGCCTACATAGCCCTGGGTACCGCTCTCAATTAACACGGTTCCTGCTGCAAGGCACATACGATTCATGTGTCGCCTCGCCTCTACATTGTCAAGCGCGTTCATGACCACACGGAACCGCCCAAAGAACGCCACATCGAAGCGATCTTCCTTCACGTTGGCGTGGTACGCCTCCAAGCGTGCCTCGGGACACATCTTGGCCACCGCCTCAGCGACTACCTATGTCCTTTCCAATTAAAGCAAACCACACGAACAACCTCCAAACGACGAACGCACCTTGGCCTTAGACTGACCCACATGATGGCGACGAAACAGAAACTGGCGGTTCAGATTGCGGACGTCGATCGTATCCAGGTCGATCTGCACCCCGCCCATCATCTCATCTATCACTGCCGGGCCACACAGATACCCTTCAAACGCACCACTTCTATACTCCTGAACCCAGTCAGCACGAGGTTCTTCAAGAGTTCGCAGCCGATGCCTCTGCCAGCAGACGTCGCCGGGCGGCGATCAGGTTAAAGCCCAAGCAGGAGGCGCGAACGATGGTCACTAACCCTGCACCAACGACAAGAACAGGCGAATCGTCAAGCTTCTGGCGAAGCTCAGGGCCCACCAACCGGTCCAGCATCGCAGCGCTCATCGTGTGATGTGATGTCGAACGTTTCAATTGGAAAAGTGACGTCTACTCCACGCAGTGTACTGCGCACTTCTCCGTAAACCCTAGCGCTGGACCCAAACCCTAGCGCTCTCGATTACAATGCCTTGATGGTCCGTCTCTCTCTCTCTCTCTCTCTCTTCTGCTGCTCAAGGTTCTTTCTCTCTTTCCGGGCCACATTCTAGAGATTTGTGTGGTTTTATGTATAATTCTTTATCAGTGGCGCTGTGATTTGCGTCGTTTCCCCAAATCCAGCTGGTCCGGCCAAAGGACTCGAACTGTCGATCCAGGCGTTGTTGCTCTTCTTCTTCGGCATCTTCTTGGAGGTTTTGGAGCCCAGACCTGAGCCATTTTCTGTATCATCGTCGTTGGACAATGCTACCATGCGTTGGTACAAGAATTCGCGACTGGTGACATCTACTTCTTCGTTGTCAGGATCGATTTCATATGGCTGATTCGAGCCTTCAATAGACAGATCGGGAGCGACATCTTTGTCTTTGTGGGATTCATTCACTGCTCTTCGCATGGGGTTGAAGTTGGACGCATCTGAACCTCGTGCAAAACGCCCATTAGGACGAGAGGTTCGAAAGTTGGGACTGGCCAAGAAAGGTGTCGAGCTGGATTTGTTCATCTTACTGAGCAGCGCTCGTCCATTCTGTAGCCGATAACGAGATTTGGGCTTCCTTGCGGGATCTTCCGCGTTGGAAGATCGTTGTGGTCTTCGATGGGGATTCTTCTGCTGCTGAAAGTGAGGTTTTCTTCCTCCTCCACCACCAGGAACACGTGTTCGACTCGGAATGGCTTCCACCTGCTCAATTAACGTTTGGGTGGGATCCAATTCTTCACAAAAGTTCATTCGTTCCGGAAGCTCCGCAGGATTCGTCTGCTCCTGGATAGGTTGATAGAGCTTCTTCACTCTCACAGCTGCTTGTTCCACTGCTGTCATCACTTCCTGGGTGCAAACGCTCTGACCCCCTGCAGAGAGTACTTGCACCATTTCCAGCAAGCCATCGTCTGTGATGTCATTGCGTCGAAGATCGATCACTAGCACACGGTCGTCAATCTTGACCACCAATTCTGGCACAAAGCCTCCCATCACTTCTCGTCGAAAGTAGCTGAGCGTGATTTCTCGATTACGACGAAAGTGCAGAATCAGGCTCTTGACCACTGCTTTGGAGATGAAGTTATCGCTAAACACAGCGAGTTGTACAGTGCTACAGAACAGCGCTTTGTGAGAGACTTTCCTTTTGATACGAGAGCAAAGATCTTACCTTTCAACATTAACCAGAGCTTTTCCTACGGCAAAGAAAGCCTCATCTGAGATTCTGTTCTTCTTCATGTCCAGGATCAGCAAGGGCTGGCAAACTGGGAGGTGCTGAGCAATCACATCGCACTCAAAATCGCCCAATTCACATTCAGAGAGATCCAAGAACGTCAACGAATTGCTGAGCACTGCGCCTAGCTGCTTGAGTGTCTTCTGCTGCTCTTCTTCATCGTATTGTTCGGGCGGTTCGATCGACATCCACTTCATTAAACGAGACACTAGACGTGATCGAACGTCCAGAGTCTGGTTCACTCGATCATTCATTTGGCCCACCGACGTCAGAACCACCTTAGGTAGTGTAGAGCCTTTGGTGGGCACTCGAATCACGCCCGATCGAGTGAATCGATCAGCCACTCGTCTCAGCAATAACGCAGGCGAACGAGCCAAATCCACGAAAGACGCCTGGGTGATCCCAAGTGCTTCGAGCATTTTGAGCATCTTAACGCCTATTTTCCCGCTGAGCAATTCTTTCAATTCGTGGTCACTGATGCTTTTGTTGCCACCATTTTCGGTGGGAATCGTGCCTGGAAGAGCTCCAACTGCAGCATTCTTCTCAGTCTCGACGTAGGCGCTGAGCTTCTGCACATATTGTCTCTCGCGACGACGATAGTTTCGAATCTGCTGATCTTTGGAGCGAATGATATCTTGGAGATGATTTTGGTTCTTCTCCAAACCTCTGACCTTATCTCGAAGCACTCGAGTGGCCGTCAGCATATCTTTCGCCTGAGCTTCCAGCTCAGTAATCCTGCGTCGACGATTCTCGCGTGAATTCTTCTGATTCTGCAGCTGCCATTGAACGCTCTTGTACTTATTCAACACTTCGGCCAAGGTCTTCTCTTTGGACTTGAAGGCATCCATGAGTTTGGCTCTGACCCTTTCTTCGCGAATGAACTTTCGACGGAATTCTTGAGCAGCCAGCCTGAAACTGGTGGCTTTCTCCCGCTCATCTTTGACTTTAGTGTCCATTCTGTGACGTGTCTTGTCTTCTTTGTCGAGAGCCTTCTGAAGCGCTTCTTCGCGTTTCTCCAACATCTGGAACTTCCTTGCCGCTGCTTTCAGGTCTTCACTGGCCTGAGACTTCCATTCATCCATCTTGCGTAGCTGATTCACCAAATGAAACACTTTCTCAGCCATCATTCGAAGCTGTTCTGAAGATTTCTTGGCTTGGGTATCCAGGTCACTAGCCTTCAGCTCCCCAGATTTCACCTGTTCGTTCACATCATTGAGATTCTTAATCTCTTTGTTTCGGTTCTCCAGTTCATTCACCACCTTCCGAATCTTCTCTTCCTGATCAGTGAGTTGTTTGTCCAGTCTCATGTTGTCATCACCCAAGCGAATCACATCTTGAGCCAATTGCTCAGCTTCTCTCTTGGCAGCCGTCACCGAATCTTCTTCTCGTTGCACTGTCTTGAGCAGCTCCACTGCTTTCTTCTTCCATTCATCTTTTTCGCCTGTGTGGCTCTCTCGAAATCGATCGAGTTCGGCCGTCAGTTTCTACATCATCGTCTTCAGCCTCCTCCCACGCCCTCTCAATGTTCGCCCATTGCAACGCACCTCCACCTCGCTTCGATAACGAGAATTCTCGAAGTAAACGTCTTGGAGTTCATCACGAGCTCGTTTCACTTCTTTCGCCAGTTCTGACGCCGACTGCTCTTTCGAAAGTTTTCTTGAAACCATTGTAATGCGCTTGGTTCGCAGCTCATCAGCCTCGCGCGAAGCTTTCACCACTTGATCTTCCAGGCGAGTTCTTCCATCTGATCAACCACAAACAACCACATCAGCAGCAGCACGTACGTATCGATTCCATCACAACACTCACCTTTCTCTTCTTTCACGGTCACTAAAAGCTTGGCGTTCTCGTCCGCCAACTTTTGGATCTGTTCATGCTCTTTATGGGCTCTCACGAGCAGCATTCGACTCTCTTGTACTTGTCCTGACAACTGTTCATTGGCATCTTTCATGGCCACCATCGCATGTGCTTTCTCTTTCGATTCGCGATGGATCTTGTCCAACACCTCTTCAGGCGCCTCGCTGCGATCAGCGTTTGTCGCCCCTCCATCTGCGTTGGGTAAAGAGCCCTCGCGAGGACCTTGTTGCTGTCCCATCCCTCAATCACCAGCAACAATGGCCAGAGCATCAAAGAAGTCCTTACACTGCTCGTTGTTAATGCAGAAGCTCGACGACGAGATGTTTTACTTGTGCTGAGGGCAGTGCCTAATGATCAATGCACATTAGACCAGACTCTGTCACTGGGGTTTGAAACTCATGTCTTACCTGGCGTCGATGAATTGCTTCTGTTTCGCATCTCAATGATACATCCAAATCTCCTTCGAGACGTTCGTTCAATCCAGTGATGCAAAGAAGAGATCGAGAGAGAAGCAAAGCCCAAGGTCGCAACATCAGTGGGGGACAGGGTTTGCCCTCTTTTCGTGCTCGTCCTGGGCGACAAAATATCTGTTTCCCCCTACTTTCTCGCTCAAAGGGCCAAGAGACGGTCGTTTCCATAACCAGTGAGGAAACATCCCTGAGAATAGACCACCAGCGATCCGACCCGGTTACGACGGCATGACGAGCGGGTCATGCCGCAACAAATAGCGATGCTGGACTGTAGGCAGGGCAGCGACAACGACAGAGATAGCACCACGCCTGACCACTGGCACAAGGCAGAGGCTGATGCCACAGTCTTTGGCTGTAACGCGAATAAAAGAAAGGGTATCAACCAGAAGAACGAGAACAACGATCGCGAAGGAATTGCAGAGGGATGCAGTGTAGTTTGTGGAGGCCTCACAAGTCACAAGGGACACGTGTATGTTGTGTTGGATCACACAACCTGTGCATCGTGGAGGGGATCTAGGTAGAGAACCCTTGATTCGTCCATAGCCCAAGAGGCCCAACGATTCGATCGACTTCGGATAGTACCGGTCATCGTTTCTCCTCTTCTTCGTTTGTTAATCACCATATTGTTATCATGCTGGGACGTCTGGAACTGTTGAATGTTCCTGGGGCTCAACATCGGTCTCGTGATGTAGACACCAATAGGGAAGACGAGGAGTATCCAGAAACCTATGGTCAGCAGGAGATCCTCGATGAATCTCCTTTGGTGCAGCAAGAAACGAGTCCCAGAGATACTCCGGATGCAGATGCCCATCCTGCCTTGTTGCTGGTGCGCGAAGATGAAACTATCGACCCGGACGTGGCTAACGCCACCAGAATCCTGAATATCAACTACCTTATGCTTCGACGAGCAGACTGCCTATCGTTCGAGAGCGCAGGTGAACTCGTGCTTGTCTCCAGCACCAGTGCAAGGAAAGTGTTGCTCTCGTTGCCCACCAACGAGCTTCGTGTTCGCTTCGATTCCCTTCGCAAAGATCATGTACTGATCACCTATGGATCGAGTCGCCCTCGATCCATGATACAACTGATCGTGCAAGGTGAATTTATTGCACAGGAGCTCTTCAACTTCCTCGACACCGGCTGCCCTGAAGGGAATAACGAAGTGCCCGAAGACGATGGCACAGATGCCTTGGAAGCCCAAGATGATGAGCATCGCCAGGTGCTTCTTCCCAAACGCGAAGTAAGACGGCGCCTGCACATCCACTTCCTGAAACATACTCCCACTCATGCCCATGATCCACAGTTCAACACCTTG